TGATGCTGTAATTTGATGTGTTATTTTTCTTTTGCACAGGGCTGTAATCCTTACCGTGCCAGTCCATTAGTAAGGGGTAGTAGTCTACATTCCTCTGTTTTGGATCCACTTACAGCTCAGCTCCACTCACCCAAATCAATAGGCTCTCCCCAGCTATCATCACCACTGGGTCTCAGTAACAGTTCAAGTGAAATTCAGCGACTTAGTGAAGATCTCATGGCTGCCAGAACCAAGCTGGCTTCATGGGAAGAGTCCTGGGCTCAAGCAAAGCAGGCTTGTGATGCCTGGAAGAAGGAGGCAGAAGAATCAGCAAAAAAGGCAAAGGAAGCCGAGCAAGGAAAAGTAGAAGCCATTATGAAAAAGGAAGAGGTAAATTAATTTGAACAGAAGTGGTATTTAGAATATCCACCAAGAATTTGTTGTTAGTATTTAGGAAAAAAGTCCATGATTTCCTAATTTGAAACTTAACTTTTAAATGTTAGTTAAACTTGCCCATCCCTCTTGGAATGTCTGTGATGGGTAACTGGACATTTCGCACAAAAGACTTTTCACACAAGTCTTTTAGCACAAGTTTTGGACTGTTCGCACAGTTCTTAGTGGTCATTTTGCACAATAATCATAAGTGAGAAACATCAATATAAAAGGTATACTGATTGATACTGATAAGACATTTTACCTTCACATGATCCAACGGCGAGAACATAGACATTTATTTACATAATAACTTCAACTAGATCAAAATGCTCGTGAACACAATCACTATTCTTTCTTGAAGAAAGGAAAGGTACAAATCTCTCTCCATGAAAATGTAAAGAACTCACTATTCGAACGACTACTTCTATAATGTTTTCTTTGTTGAACGAAAAACCTTTTAGTTTTGACAGTATCATCCACTGCAAAGTTAACATGCAAACATGACAACCCACGCTAAGGACACCATGTTGATTTCGAAAGTAATTGTCACCAGTCTTCCCTCCTTGTTTGATCGCCTTCAAATAGCATGTTTTATCAATCTGTAAGAGTTTCAAATAAAGCTATTGAAAACTTGCTCCTTATATCTTCGTTATATAATGAAAATTAGGCATACTGGTAATACGTACAGCAAAAACAGTTCAACGTTAATAACTCGATATTCAGAGAGTGATTCAGATCAAATGTCGGCACGTGCAAGTGTTGTGATTTGACAACTTGAATGTGTCAGTGTAGGTAGTAACTAGTGATCTTGTAGAAAGACAAGTTCGATCTGTAATAATTTTAAAGATCATAAAGTTTAATACATCTATCAAGTAGTAACCTTTCAAATTATTCTAATAACAATTATTACCTGAGCGATGGAGAGTTCAGTATTGATCGATAAGCGTCATAGCAACCATGATGTAAACAAATGATTTCACGAAAGTTTCAAGAATTCAAAATAATTCAAAGATTATATGCTAGCCGTTCAATAAGTAATCATACAAGCTTAAGATCAAAACAAATAAAGAAATTTAGATGTACTATAGCTTAAATGAATGTAGGAAAGGGCTAAATTTCTACGAGTCTTGACCAAGTAGCGAGTTAAAATATGCATGATTCCTTGGCTAACATGGCCATGAACTTGAATTTTATATATTTACACAAATTTTGTAGATAGGTCTTTTCTCCTTTTAAATAAAAAGTGAAACAGTTTGCAGGTTTTTACTTTGACTTCAGAGGAGGGTGGATTGGTGACAATTACTTTTGAAATCAACATGGCGTCCTTAGTGTTGGGTTGTCATGTTCGTTTGTTTGTAGTGGATGATGTACTGTCAAAACTGAAAGGTTTTTTGTTTAACAAAGGAAAAGTAAAGGAAGTAATCGTTTTGAATAGGGAGTTCTTTACATTTTCATAGAGAGAAAGATTTGTTCCTTTCTTCAAGTAAGAATAGTGATCATGTTCAGAAGCATTTCGATCTAGTTGAAGTTATTACATAAATGTCTACGTTCTTGCCATTGGATCTTATTGAAAGTGATATGTGAAGGTGAAATGTCTTATCAGTATCAATAAGTATACCTTTTATATTGATGTTTCTCACTTAAAATTATTGTGCAAAATGACCACTAAGAATTGTGCGAACAGTCCAAAACTTGTGCTAAAAGACTTGTGCAAAAAGTCTTTTTTGCAAAATGTCCTGTATTCCTATGATGTCATCTGGGGTGCTACTTAGTATATACTGCAACCACTCAATAATCCGCCCTAGTGTGCTTGATATATCCATTTTTGGCCTGAACTCCAAATAATTTCATAATTTAGAGTGTGAGATCAAATTTTTGAAAAAAGTTTTGACAATTTTTTTTTTTTTTTTTTTTGGGGAGGGGGGCCCAATAATTTTTACACCATGATAATATGATTTTAAAAATCTGATAAAAGAAACTATTATTTTTTTACTTTAATAAGAATAGTAACAAGCTGATAGTTACATTTTAATTGTATGTTGATTTTCCTTTTTCTTAGATTGAATCTCAAGTGGTAAGCTTGAGAAAAGAAATGGAAGAAATTAAAGGTGGCCCCCATCTTCACACTCTCAACACAGTGGATGATGTAGGGGAGTTACCTCTGTTAGAAATGAGACAGATTCATCGACAGCTCAGTTCAGATTTAGAAAAATTAAATCAGGTGGGTAGTGATATCAATAATGTTTATGTTGTGACCATATTACATTTAGCCAGTATGATTTGTAGTTTAATTCCTAATCATTGTTTAAGACAACAGGAAAAAATGGGTGAAATACAAGTGTGAGTTATTTAATGTCAAATGAACATTCCCATTGTCTGCATATTAACTGAAAGAGAAAATTTAAAGGAGTACTTGAGTTGATCTGTCAGCATGTGTTTACACTTTTAGAAGTCAAACTCAAATCTCAATGCCTTTACCTGTGATAAGTCCATGAAATTGCTTTAAATGAACTACTGGCATATGTACTCTTAGTGGAAAGTTGGAGCAGAATTTTTAACAGAGCTTGTTTATTTCCCTTTGCAGGTGATGTATAGAAAAGTAGCTTTAATTTGTAGTCTTTGTGAGGAACAACAGAGATGCATAATGACAGCACCGTGTTCGCATTGTACAATGTGTGAGGCATGTGCTTCACAAAGATTGGAATGCCCAGTGTGTCTTGTTCAAATCACACAAAAAACTTTGATAAATATACCCATTTGAGGACGTAATATATTGCAGTTAGGCAGTGTTTAGCCTGTTTTCAATTATTCCCTTTTAGGACTTGATATGATGTTTAGAAATCTATGAATTTAGCTTTTAAGGTATAATTATTAATGCATATATTATTCAAAGAATATTTCTTAGGGATTATGAATGCTTGTTTCATTTCAAATTATTATTATTATTATTAATAATATTATTTCCTTTTCGGTAATGAATTTATTTTGAACTTGGAGGTCCAAACATTCCGTGCTGGGTGTACATTTAGTGTATTTATCAGCACTTCTTATTCTAAGAATTGCAGAGTAAATGTCAAAAGATATGTTGTCCATTACAAGACAGTCTGAGAGAGAGGAATTAAAAACAGCTGTCATTTCAAAACTTGATAGTAGTTTTGGGAATCAAGCCTTCTGTAAAATTTCTTCTTACTCCACCTTCTCCCTCAGTTTCTTTGTTGAATTACCAAAGCAATTTTGAGTTGAGTATGGAAAACTATCCAGGATTTAACCCTTTACATCAGTATAAATTTTCTCCATACTGTTCTCTAGGTATTTCCTATGGTGCTGACAAAGAGGATTTGTTTAACAATCAAGGGCCTCTATAGTTGGCAATCATTTTCTTATATTCTCATGATCTCGATGTTTAATTTGGCAGTGATACTGACAGGAGAAAATAGTTACTAATCACTCTTAGGGGTTAAAGGGTTAAACGTTGGTATTGCTTCACTTTTGCATCAGGATGGCCTTTAAAAAAGTTTGCCATCCTCTCAATCGAGATGTAGAAAGGAAAGTAAACAGCACGTGTCCATTTACGTTTTTCTTTACTGAAACACTGCCTGTTTTTTTTTTTGCTTTTTGTTCAAATGGGCTCCTAATATTTTTCTTTGCACTGATTGGTGGTTCAGGTAACTTAGGTTTTGGTTTCACAAAACTTAAGCAAATTAAACGCTTTGGGCCATCTAACTGTTCTGGAAAAATTAAATCAAAACGTTTTGTTCCTTATACCTGCACATGGGAGGTATGCTTCTTATGTTCTTAGATTCAGGGGAATCCCTTTTCTCAGACCAACCTAAAGCCATAAGAATGTAATGGTTATAGCAGTGTGATTTATATAATAATTTTGAAACACTAGCAATGACGTAACTAAACAAAAAATTAACTCGAGGTGCCCTAAGCAAGTGATGAAAAAAATGTTATTTTACAAGAGTAGCTCCACACTTCCCCTTCCCCAGCCCCTCTCTCAGAAAGTCTTCATGTTACCTTTTCCTTAAAAAAATTGAATTTTGTCCTTGTTTTTCAAAAGTAATTTTCTTCCCTTCCCACTGTTTCCTGACATTTTGCCTCGTATTCCCTCATAGGGAAAAGTGTGCTAGGTTTCTTTTGATGGTTGGTTGGTTCTTCTCAGATGTATACGACTATAGTGTTAAGCCATGATCTTTTGACTAAATATTCAGGAAAAACTGCGTACGTGAAAAAGACATTTCAATATGAACTAGGAATTACTGATGGGATGTCACATAATTCTTGCTGGCGTCACTCAAATCTTCAAGCGGCGACAACTGCAGACAACAATAAGACTTTACATAACTGATCTACTTGAACCCAAACGATCGATAGACGGCTACAGGAAGAGTTAATCAGTTCTTCGTTCGCCGCTTACTGGCGTAAATTGTTGAGTTTGTAACTTGGTTTCCTTTTTTTTTCTGCCCGTCATTGTTAATGTCTTCTTTTTCTGCGCTGAAAAATACACAAACATGTAAAGCGCCCTTAACATAGCCTGCCAGCAAGCCCTCCAAGGGGTGGGCTCGCTCGCAGGGCTCCTTATTATCAATGTTTGTCGGAGTTGGGGAAGGGATCAGGTCTCTCTTTCGTTTCTAACTTGTAAACATGGAACACGACGAGATGTGTTGCTTTCTTCCTGACCTCAGTTCTGTCCTGTTTGAAAATTATCCATTTATTAGTCAAACACGCAAGATGACGTTGTGGATTTGACCAGAGATTTTGTAGCTAAGGTATTTTAGTCCTACATGCCGACGTAGACTGAAACCAAGTTTACATATTCAAGATGGCGGATCCCCTCGTCTCCTTGACAGCTGAAAAATTGGTTGATCTCTCAAACGACAGGGAATATCTTAGCGAATGGCCTCCAGCAAATGATATTAGAGAAGAATCTGAACAATTAATTCAGGTAAAAAGACAGAGATTGGATCGTGCAGAGGACAGAAGACAACCCAGTGTGCAAGATAATTATGAGGGAGAAAGAGTTTTATGGGCTCGGCCCGCTCTGGCAAAGTGGTGGAGAGAAAGACAAAAGGAGCCTGGATTAAAAGATTTTACAAGCATTCCAAAATCGGTTAACCCTAATACAGTTCTGAAATATGTTGCTGGGTAGGTTTTGTTAAAACGATAATGAGGCCAGTTATGGGAGTCTGAGGTGAGAACGGGGTGATTTGGATGGGGGGGGAGGTTGCCTCTGATGGAGTGTGGGTATGGACTTTGTCCAAAAAGGGTAACATTTCCAATGTTCAATTTTACCAATGGGTATGGAGAGTGGCATTTAAAATACAATAACATTAGACATACTGGTTTTAGTTTACTTGCTTTAATTAAAGATTGACATAAAAATACAAACACTTACCACATGAGGATCTACCAATCAAAACTGAGAAGTCAAATGGAAATTTTCATGCTGCTTATTTCCTGAGTAGAATTGTGGTTACTATTTGGTATTTGAAAGGATTCTACTACTGTTTTACAAAAAGAGAGATTTGAAATCAAAGAGCTGTAACATTTCTTATAAGCTTTCTTTTACAAAACTTGCCCTACTCCAAGATTTCCACATCGTTCATTTATATTTTTTGTTCTACAGACCTCTTTCAAAATTGGGCAGCGGTAATTTTATTCCTTTTTTTAACCATGAAAGTAGCCCTCCAAATCTACAATTTCTCCTTGTCAGCTCCTTGCAAAATGTAGAGAACAGTTCAGTTTATCAAGGTTGACAATGTCAACCTGGATAAACTGAAAATTTTCCTTTAACCCTTTACACCCTAACATCAGAATGCTTATTCTCCATACTGTTCTCTACATTTTGCAAGGAGCTGACAAGGAGAAATTGTTTAACAATCAAGAGCTTCTTTAGATGGCAATCATTTCTCCTTTTCTCCTAATGGTAATGTGCAATTCAAGGGTGATCCTGTGAGGAGAAATTAGAAGCCAGTCACTCTCAGGAGTCAAAGGATTAAAGTGAGGCCAGCAAGGCTAAAATGTATGCATACAAAATACATCTGCCATCATGTAGTGGACTTTGTTTTTTCTTTTCAAACAGCCTCCCCACAGGAAAAGCATACTTAAAGGAGCAAATCAACCTGCTGAAAAAGGAGATAATATTACATCCTGCAAGTGCTACACATCATGCTGCACTAGCATCCTACTATGACTTGCTTAAAGACACTTGTTCAGCTCTGAGTAGTCTTGAAGTTGCCACAAAGCTTGATCCACTGGATAAGAATATAGCATGGCTGTATTTGAAAGTACAACGAAGTAAAGAGCTGGAGGATAAAAAAAGAAGTCTTCAGGAACATTTTTTACCACATCCTTCTACTGATCATAAGATGCCTGAGCCAGTAGAGGTGAGTTGAGATGCCTTGACAGGGGAAAAAAATGAAGAGCCTTGTGACCTGAATTTGGTTGGCAAAGTTGTTCAGATCACAACCATACCAAAATTGTAGTTACTGACTGCTTCTTAGGGTCTGGAGACTACACCACATCAAAACCCTATTTTGTGGCCCCCAATTAGTAGGCTGCCTTCCAGGCAGATATTGAGGAAGATGATGGAATTGAAAATGACTGAGTGACATTATCTTGCTGGTATACTTATTTGAGAATTTATGATCACTGAATACATGATGCTTAAATGGTAAGCTGAAATGTAAAGTTAATTTGAGTCGTTCTAGCATAATTATATTGTCTAGGGAGGACAGATGCTAAGGAGATGTCAATACTAACAACATTTTGCTTTTTTATCACATCAGACACATATATTCTATGTTGTCTTGGGTCTGCACAGTAAAAGATCACAGAAGATGTCAATTTGTAATAAGTACATCAGTGACACACTTGAGCCACATTTTTTGTTCTTACCACATTTTGACATCATCTATGATCTATTGCTGTACAGACAAATGCACAGGTAGCAACATGGAATCTATTTTATGATACTACAATGAAATATCTTTCTGCCAGAGAGTTAAAAAGCCATGTCATTTAGCAGTTAACCCTTCAACTCCTAGATCAAATTTGTAATTCTCCCTATTGTCAACCATACAATTCTTATGTTTGTTCAAAGAATTTAGTATTGGATCAACTAATTATCCCCAAATTGATATTTTTCTTTATTTTCATCACTTGTCTGGTTGATATTTTATTGATATTGTAAGGAGAAATTCTGTCTTGGTCACTCATAGGAGTTAAAGGGTAAAGGTCCTTAGTTAGGTTATGTAAGCAGATCTTCCTCAAGGATGGAAACAGATATGTGATATCCAGCAGGGTGTGGTTTGGGGGGTGTTCAGTGGTATACAGAGTGTGATATATTACTGTCAAGGGTATCTTTCAGAACCATAAGCCTTGCACAGAGTGTAAGTTTGGTGATTTGCTTGTCTAGTGCTGGCAGTTCTTATTGTATCCACCTCTAAAATCATGTCCAAATAAGCTAGTCATGGTTCCTTCAAAAATATATTTTTAACTGTAAATTGGGCCTTAGTGACCTTGATTGAGAGCTAGATTCTGCTTCCATGCAGTTCTTTATTCCCTTATACCAGAGGGAGGAATAGATTTTCGTCAAATATAGCATAGGGCATAATTCCAGGTACCCCTTCTTCCCTTAAACTAATTTATTTTTTATCTTTTCAGGTAGAGAGGCGTCACTGCAATACTCTGGGAGCAAAACAGTTTTTGTTTGAGTATTGTATGACTGGTACCCCTGTTATTATCACAGGACTGGTGGTTACCATGACTACTGCCCCTTGGGACTTTAAGCATATAAAAGAGGTGAATGTTATTTTCAACACTGTTTTTCATGTGATACAATTAGAGGGACTAAAACAATTCCCCATCATTTTACTATTAGCAATAAGAAATTCATACTTGAAATTTACACCTATCCAAAGGCAATTTTCAAAGTGTTATGTTTATCTTTGAAATCTCAGAATGCAGTAAGCTCTAAGTTTTTATAAATACTTTTTGTTGACAGAGATGAAAATGTGTTTAAAATTGTTCCAGGAATAAATGCATCTCTTTTAAAATCAGTTTCCCTTTAGTATTTGTAAAAAATTCAGTTGGAGGGCAGAAAGACAACTACTTCTGGTGAAAGCTTCTGAGGGTAACAGGGGGCATGTTTTTCTAGAAATTGTGGACACTCCACAGCCACTGAGATTTAAATGCCTTCCTGCCTCTCATAATTGTTTAGCAGGGGCATATTGAAAGAGAACTTCAACTGTAAGTGCTGTGTTTTATTTAAGATGCTACAATGATTCCTGTATTAGTAAAATCTATGACTTTCTATGGCTTGGTCTCTATGCTATGTATTTATTTTTGTAACATTTCTTTGGCAAAATTACTTCTCTTAAATTGTACTGACAATTAAATGCAATAACTACTTACAGGACCTTTATCTAGTGTTAGCATTTCTTTTCATTTTCGAGCGGAGAAGGTATCCGTCAGAGGTTGCTGTTATGATCCAAAACCGCTCCCTCTTCTCGTTTCCAAGAAATATCAATTAATTTGGGTACAGTGTGTCACGCCATGTCTTTTTTATAACGCAATTAAAAATTCATCCCTACAATGTTTTTAATTACAGCTTACTTAGAGTTTTTTCTTTTCCACTGAAACACCTTGTCCCCATCTCCATTGAGCCACCCACTCTCCAATGTGGTAAATGAATATGAAGACTCCAACAGAAAACGCGAAAAATGCAGCAATAGAGAGCGCATCTAACTTCTCTAAAAATGGATACACCCAAATATCTGCTGCAAATGCTATCCACAGAACCCAGAGAATGTAACAAGCTGCAAATCCTACGACAGAAACCATAGCTTTCTTCTTCGTCGGGTATTCGTGGCGAATAAAACATAGTTCCAAGATTGTCACTAAAGGGAATGTATGCATGTAATGATTATGCAACGCGGGAATTTGTTTCGCTTCTTCTGGTGTTTGACAAGAGTTTGGATCGGCAGCGTAAAGACCCCAAAATAACAAGCTCACTGTCGTTCCGACCGGGAACACAAAGCAAGCAAACATGTGGTCGCAAACGGACGCGAAGATGTGGCTCTTTCGCTTCTTAATGATCTCGTGAAATTCTGTGACAGCGGCAATGTTGAAGTACCCAAAGTGTAACAGCATGTTGATAAAAGTTAAGAATTTGAATCTTCCTCCGTAGGTTTGGTGAACTGGAAGGTGAATTTCTGTCATATAGTACGTTACTCCAATCAAATGTACCATAAAACACACATAGTGAAACAGGAAAGGGCCCCAAACACCTGCCATTTTGAATCAACTCCACGATGCGTTTGTTTTCCCGGAAGATGAAACTTTGGACTGATATTATTACACGCGTTGTATAAATGTCACGAACATGTCAGGGTCATGTGACAGACTTTTCAAACGTGTTTGAACAACACAAAGAAAACAATTACGGTCGAATTTTCTTAACACATCAAGCGTTCTTCAGAGATCAAAAATTATTTCTTGACGCATCAGGATGGAAATGATAATTTTTTCTTCTTCACCGTTTCACTCCTTAATATTTCCGATAACTCAACCTCTCCGATATATTTCTCGGCAGACACCACGAAACTGTGATATGTCTTAAGTTCTCGCCACCTAACGGCTGGAAACATGATAAATAAAACATTTATTGTCAGAAAGTAGTGTCAACTTTAAAACAACGCGTTCCGTGATGTTTTTGTTTGTTTGTTTGTTTGTTCACTCTTTGTAGAAAACAGTTCATGCTCTTGAAAGAATTTTGATTAAAAATAAAATAAAATAAATATTGGCATGAGTGCTACTTGTCAGATTTGAAAGTTTTGATTGTAAGTGGAGAGAGGAACTAAGCTTTCTTAGAACACGAAAAGAAAAGAAATAAAAGTGTTAGACAAACAGCAACTTTTGAGCGTCTCTTACGCAGCACGTGCTTGTCACACGGCGAAAAAGAAACCTAAAAAATATTCAGTTGCTATGCGGTGTAAGTGGGCTTGTCGGTGATAGCCCCCATCATTGTCTCATGCCCACAGAAGGGATGTTTTTTACCTTTTGTCATCTATTTATTTAGAGAAAGCTCTCTAGACTCATCTTTCATGCTCGCTATTGCAGGCAATTGGTAACAAGACAGCAACACTCAAAAGAATGGTGAAAGAATCCACAGAATGGGCAAAGCTTGAACCAGCTGGTAACATGAAAGTATCTGAGTTTATCGACTCCCTGCAAACATTAAAGGAACCACTTTACTTGTTTGATTGGAGCATACCAACACACGCTCCTGACTTAGCAGAAGAACTAAAGATTCCCAAGTATTTTGCAGGAGATTTCTTGCAGAGAACTGCCCCAGGATCATTATACCGGGATAGTTGGCCAAGTCTTTTTATTGCACCTAAAGGATTGCACAGTGACCTTCATGTTGACGCATTTGGTTCAAATTTCTGGATGGCACTATTCCAGGGCAGAAAAAGGTAAAGGTATACTTACTCAAAATTGCTTATAATTGAGATAGTTGCAAGTGATATCATGTGATAGGCTGGGAGGAGGCCTTCATTATCATTATGCTGCCACATAAGTGTTTCTTTGCCCAGGGTTTAAGTTTGGGTCAAGTCTGCAAGAGATCTGCAAGAAGGCTGTTTTTATTTTTTTCAGCAATTGGTTTTATAATGACCAATAATCTCTTTTCACTATAGGTGGACATTCTTCCAGAGAGAAGACATTCCATTACTTTATCCACACTACCAGGATTCACTTGACCTTGCATTTGACGTAGACCTGAGTTGTCCTGATCTTGATAAATTTCCCCTGTTGATGTCAGCAGTGCCTCGTCAATGCATTTTAGAACCTGGTGAGCTGTTGTTTGTTCCTTATGGCTGCCCACACAGAGTGGAAAACTTGGAAGATTCTTTAGCAGTTTCATCAAATTTTGTTGACTTGTCTAACCTTCATGTTGTTCTTGAGGAACTGAGAGGAAATGCATTGATAGATCCCAGATCGCAAGATTTGTTAATACAAATGACAAGGGATAATTTTCCAGTGAAAATGTTTAGTCAACAGAGTGACCTTTCCTGGAAAGATTTCAAGACATGGCCTCGAGTTAATTATAAAGACTTTGATATTGATATGGATGATTTGCAAAATTACACTGATAAATAACCAGCATGTACTGGTAATTATTAAATTACATGCTTTCAGACAAATCATCTGTTAAGTGCTTGACTTCATTTTATGAATACTGTGGTTTCATTTATTGAAAAAAATCACATCAGCCAGAAAATTTGTCAAGTTGACAAATATTTATTTATTTTTAATGTTATATATTAATGGGTTCCATTAAAAAATGTTAATAAATCCACTCTCACATTAAAAGGTGTCATACCACAGATTACAAGATATGTTATCACAAGTGACAAGGGATGATTTTCCAGTGAAGATGTTGGATGAGTTTAACTTAATGCCCATTAATTCATAATTTTCCATTGAAGATCAGAAGAGGGAAGTAAAAGGAGAATATTTTTGTTGACCTCTAGTGATGCCACTCATTTCCCAGCTTGTCTCATGTCCTGTGACATACTATGTCATGCCAAACTGGTCACCTGATTATTAGTGTACCAGTGATATCTTTCAGATATAATTCATTTTGATTACACATTGATGAAATGAAGCATGTTTTGACTAGTGAAAAACTTAAGTTAACACTTGAAATAATTCTCTCTCACAAGGATATTATTGAAAGTAAATGTTTATTTTCTGTTTAGTAGTTCCAAATATATGCCCCCTAACCTGAACTCATATTTTCTTACCCTAAAACTTAAGACCTTATAATGTGTTGGTATTTTAAGACTAACCTAAGGTCAAAAGCTTCTGTCTGACTCTCTATTTTTACCTTGCATTCGAAATCAAAAAAGGAAAAAAATGCTATTGTCTTTGAGACAAGAGTATGCACTATTAACACCTGCTAACACTAAACCTCATTGTACTTTTTCAAGACTCTGCAGTTCCGTCTTGTTGGGCGAAACACTTGTCTTTTGTACAACTTGTAGTTTACTGAACCAAATGATGTACACTTATGCAGTTTATACAGTCAATTCAGCTCAAATCCAGCTTTTTCTTGCTCTGATCTGCGATGCTAGCCAATCGAGTCCTTCATATAAACCTTCGCCTTTCACAGCGCAAGAGGACTGCACAAACCAAGGCCTTTCTCGCATGCTTCCTAAACCAAGCATTTCACGAACATCAGAAGCAGCCATAGCATCAGGCATGTCCTGTTTATTTGCTAAGACTAGAAGTACGACATTTGCTAGTTGTTCTTCGCCCAAAAGCTTGTGCAATTCAGTTTTGGCTTCTTCGATTCGCTCCCTGTCAGCGCTATCCACCACAAATATCAAGCCTTGTGTACCTTGAAAGTAAACTCTCCAAAGGCTTCTTATCTTGTCTTGCCCTCCAATGTCCCAAACTGTAAAGGATATATTCTTGTAAGAAACAGTTTCCACGTTAAAGCCTAAAGTAGGGACAGTGGATACGATCTCTTCAAGTTTCAACCTATACAAGATGGTCGTCTTCCCCGCATTATCCAGGCCCACCATTAAAATTCTCACATCCTCCTTGCCAAGGAGACGATTTAAAACATAAGAGAAAACGTTTCCCATGCTTAAATATATCGTAAAACTTGCAACATCAATTGACTATATTGTATACAAAAGTGAGAGACTAAATCGATGGGCATCACATTATGGTAGGTGCGTCATGTATGGGCAATTATTATGTCCTCAATACATATTATGTCCTATACTTTACATACAATACCCTACACACACATACAGGGCTAAACAAGGCTAGATACAGCTATACACAGCTCTACAGCGCTATACAAGGCTAAACGCAGCTATACAGAGGTATACGCAGCTATACAGAGCTATGCACAGCTATACAAGGCTATACACAGCTATACAAGGCTATACACAGCTACACATTGCGATACACAGCTATACACGGCTATACAGAGCTATAAACAGCTGTACAGGGCAATACACAGCTATACAGGGCTATACAGAGCTATACACAGCTATACACAGCTATAGAGGGCTATACACAGCTATACAGGGCTATACACAGCTATACACAGCCATAAAGGGCTATACACAGCTATACACAGCTATACAAGGCTATGCACTGCTATACACAGCTATACACGGTTATACACAGCTATACAGGGCTATACACAGCTATACAGGGCTAAACGCAGCTATACAGAGCAATTCAGGGCTATACACAACTATACAGGGCTAAACACAGCTATACAGGGCTATACAAAGCTATACAGAGCTACACTTAGCTATACAGGGCTATACACAGCTATACAGGGCTATACACAGCTATACAGGGCTAAACACAGCTATACAGAGCTATACAAAGCTATACAGGGCTATACAAGGCTATACACAGCTATACACAGCTATACACAGCTATACACAGCTACACAGGGCTATACAGAGCTGT